AATCTGAGAATGATTATATTCTATACCATTTGATGATGATAGTTCCATAAACTATTAGACCCATTTTCAAGTACTGAGGGCGTTGAAGTTGACAGTGAGGTAGTACCTGCTTTTTTGTTTTCAGTTTTTATGATATCAGATACGTATTTTAACGCCTTTGCGTGAGCTAATGGATTAAGGTACAGCGTCTTGAAGCGAGGATCCAGTAAAGTGACAATGGCAAATGTATCAACAAATTCAATGTCTTTGAATTTTCGTTCATATTGCGCCAGGAACATCGATTTTAACTGTTTGGCTGGTTCTGTCATAGGGCTCATGGAATCGATTCTCTGAAATCATAAATATTAAAAAATATTGCTTAAAAATTATTCCTAACTTTTCACCTTACCTTTCTCATGTTTTTTAACATAGGGATTACCTTCCCTGAGAGAGAAGACGTTTCACCTTCCAGTTCAGTGATTGTATGAGCCACGGGTTGAAGTAGATCTCGCCCCTCAGTAGCTGCCGCTAGCTCTGATCCTGTCAGTATATGAACGGAGGTAAATCGAAGAAGAATCAGGCTGACTTTGTCGGAAAGCTTAATGAAGCGTTCCAGCATCGCGTAGTTACTACCCCACCTAGTAGGTTCATCTTTAATTAGCTTTAATATTTCTGCTTCCGAGCTCAGCTCTTTTAGTTGTAAAGCCCGAAGATCATCCGCCGCATTAACGGAATTCTTGAAAAATGTTACAATGGATCGAATTTTCGTCAGAAGGCTTTCAAAGAGTGGCGATTGTTCTATGGCAACAGATGTGATGCGGCTCAAGCTGTGGTCCACACATATAACATGTCGTACATCTCCAAAGCCGTCTTTCCCGGCTGCCACAATGTTGGCTCCTCCATCCGTAACTATAACCAAAACCTTAAAATTATAGTCAATATTTAGTTGTCAACAATAATATGTTAAGATTTAAATTCTATACCTTATGCAGGTCAATACTCCATTCGAAACAAACGTCTCGTAGCATTCTTGCAAGATAATCCTTTGTGTGCGCATGATCGAGAGGGCGGGCCGTGAGGGCAACTGACTTCAGTTCAGTTCCCTCAAGATAGTGCGCAGTAACACCTAGATAGCTTTGATTATTACCGGTGTCCGTCCACACATCTGCCGTCAAACAACACTGTTCAGATTCTGAGAGCGCACTTCTGACAACTCCACTCAGTATATCGAACTTGGCATCAATCATCTATGTGAGTTTTTTCCTACTCGGAAGCTTGTATAGAGGAAGCGCTGTTTTACAAAAGTGAATGAATCCATCTCGTTCAACTGTTCGTAGAGGAAGGTTGTCTCTGGCAATCATGTATAACAGCGCTTCATTTATTTGAATGGCCATTCCTCCATGCTCTAAAAAATAAGGTACATATTAAGAATAGTCTCAGTCTCAGTTTCACTGACGAATAATATAATTGGGAGATTATAGAATCATATTTACCTTTAAAATTCATCATCCGAGTGAATGAATCCTTGATAGTTTGATTCGGATTGACACGTCTGCTTTCATAGCTAGTACCAGCAGCAGGTTCATTGAAAGGGTTTTGCGTTTGATTCATAACAGTTTTCGTCGAAAACTTCGGGGTCGATCCTTCTGAATCTGATGCCAAATCGTCGGTTATTTTTTTCCCAGTCAGAAGCTGCTGAGGATGGTGCCTGTTGAGGTGGTTCCAAAGGTTTCTGGTGTTCCCACTTGTCTTCACAATTGATCCACATTTTTTGCAGACACCCGATTTTGAATTTTTGACAAAAAACGACCAAATGTCACTTCGTGGAGCCATCGTTTGGTCTTATTGACGACGGAGGACAATGTATTAAAAAAAAAAAACAAATTTTACACTTTTTCACACGACCTGCCTGAAATTTGTTTTTGAGTAAAATGCGCGCAAAGCAACGAGTAAACGAATACAAAGAGGAAATGAACCTGCTCACTGTCAATGTGTTTGTCGATTCAGTTCGGTTGTCAAAAAAGTACACGGAGAAACAAAATGATACATTAATGATTCAACTTAGATCATTAATGCAGGCGTAATATTTGATAACGGCACAAAAGCTTTTGTAAACAAAAGTTGTAAGGCCCTTTACACGTGAACCGAATTACGCCCACGCAAACCAATACAACTATCGGAAAGGGGAAAATTTCCCCCACCCGATGATGTTTTTGGTTACGTGGGCGTACTTCGGTTCGCGTGTAAAGGGCCTTACAACGTTTGTTTACAAAAGCGTTTGTGCCATTATCAAATGTTACGCCTGAATGTATCATTCTGTTTCTCCCAAGGGGGGGAGGTGGCTGTCAAATACGAACAATCGTCGCCTACCTCGCATAACTGGTTCCAAACGTAAACAAGCCATAAGAAACCTACAGCGTTTGTTTACGTTTGGAACCAGTTTCATACAAGTATGATCAGTAGGCTGATTTGGCAGTACGTCCCCCCCAGCATAGAGCCCCTTCACCACTCATACTGTATAGTCATCTTCCTCTTCGTATTCTTCTTCAGGTTCGCTCACCACCCGCAATGAACGCTCGGTGGATTATCGATTTGATATGGTTGGATGCATCCAACCATGCCTATGATCATGAGCATTATTTGTATAATAATTATGAGCACTATACAACAACTATACAACAACTATACAAAAACTATACAAGTGTAACCATGGATGTGCTCATAATTTATTATACAAATAATGGTCATGTTCATAGTTTGTCATACAAGTGTATCCGTGGCATTAGTAATATCAAATAGTGTTAAATGCAAACGAAAAAGAGATACAACCAGGATCAACTTTTTTTAAATTTATAGTTGCCTCTGAATACCCAACTAGCCATATCGTATCTCAGTGACATCGTCTCACTATGAACCAATATTTTAAGATTAGGTTAGGTTAGGTTTTCTTTAGGAGGCTTTTAGCCTGGGGCTGGTTCGCCTCCAGCTATATTTAAAGTTATTTTGTTAGTATATGGTTACTTGGATACTCGGGATACTCACACAAAAGCAAGACAAACAATTTAAAAGGCCTCAACTCCATTTTGTAAACAAACCTTGTAAGGTCATTTTCTCGCAAACAAAAACCTACATTCGCAAGCCAAAATCACAATTGGTTAGAGGAGAATTTCCCCTACCTGTTCATTTTGTAAGTTTGCGTTGGCATACTTCAGTTCACAACCAAATTGCCTTACAAGGTTTGTTAACAAAATGGAGTTGAGGCCCTTTCAATTGTTGGTCTTGAAATGTTTTGCAACTACCACAAGTTCAACAACGCCCAACTATGGACAGCTCTGTTTATCCCATTTATTCTTTGCATCAGCGAACACCAACATGATTATCTGCTAGGAAACACCAAATAATATATAGAGCTAATGCTCAAAAATGTAGTTTTAATGTATAGTACTTTATAAACATCATGCTAACCCATATTGGACCCTGACAATCTACGACGTTTGCACGGTAATATGGGCCATCGGAATGGTTTATCGGTTGTGAAGTGAAGTACTTCTCAAACTGAAGCGATAAATTTCTCAATATTTCAACTTTATCCTAATGTAAACTTATTATGCATATGCACAAAATCAAATGAAAAATTTCTGGGCAAACACGCCCGGACATCTTGGTATACATCTTCACTATCGCAACTACTGGTAATCATCGAAAGTATTTGCATTTTACTCAGGCACTTTTGATCAAACGCAATCACATGCTCATACTCGAAATTAACCGGAACCAATACCGCTACTACTGTCGGTTTCAGAGCACAATTCAGGAAAAAAAAATATACTCACAAATTGATTGATTATGAAACACTCGAGGAAACACTTCTTCTCACAAAGTACTTGTCGGTTATCTTTACCGCACTCCCGGAACAGAACTAACGGCACTTCGAGGCCGACGCGAAATTGAAACAACACAACTGCGGATGGAAAGTGAATGACAGCTACGATCAGAATCAGTTCGATCTTAATTCAAGCTGAACAATGCATTAGGTCCTAAGTAACATTGACAGATTCTCTTCGTCGACTTTTTCTTTGTATCCTCACGGTCAAGTTAAGATGTTAATTGGTATTTTTGCAACATGATTTGATAAAAGAGGTACTTGTCTAGCGTTCAAATCGTCTATCACAACATTGAATGGTTTTGCAGCTGAGATATTGATTACGAAATATAAAGTCGATGAAGAAAATCTATCAAAGTAGAGAAGACTTTTTTGAAAAGATGGATGGAAAGCGGAATGACAGCTGCGATCAAAATCGATTCGAGCATAATTCGACTCGAGTCATGCAGATCGATCATCATGGTAACGTCTAACGTTGGTCTAACGCTAACATTTTTCCTTCTGGGAAGAATCGATCCAAAAAATCGGAAATCGGGATGAAAAAGATCGATCTTCCAAAGATCGATCCAAGATCGCCCAATCCTAGATAAACTAGCATACATATTATGGCTAAAAATCTCTCTAAGAAAAAAAAAAAAAAAAGTAGCCGTCTGGCCTGACAATTTGGTTACAACCTACATTTTTATGTACATACCTTTGGTAAAAGATAGATACAAATTGAAACAGGTAAAAAAAAACAGTATTTGGCTCTTAATTTAAATATACAGCGTGGTTTACCCTATCAGAATAAAAGTATCGTGGCCAGAAATTATATTATACGACTCATAAATGGTTTAATATTCTCTATGGTGCAATCATAAATAGAACACTAAGCATAAGGTAGGGGAGAATGGTATACAACGCACCCCCTGGGCAGAACGCACCAGTTGACTTTCATTTGTGTTTTTCATGGCTTTTACGTAACTTTTTTGTTGTCTTAACAAGCAGCACATCTAGCATTGCATCTGAACTCAAAAGCCTGCATGAAAAATCCTAGAATTGGATTAAAAATTCCAAGAAAAACTCAAAATAAAATGAAAAAGTGCGTCTTACCCCGGGGGTGCGTTATGTACTGTTCTCCCCTACGTAGATACATATTCTAAAAAGGCTTCATGGCTACACGGTAAATTCATCTGTTGTTTCCAATCCAACATATGCGAATTTTATTTTTTTTATCAAGCACGACGCGAAACCTAGCTCAACGTGATATTTTTGGAAACATTCCACAATTTACAAATAGACAGTTGTTCTATCATAACAAAGATCACAAGCATATATGTTTTCAAAGGTTTTTCCAAGGGTTTCCAGGTGAATCCTTCAATCTTGTTGCCACTGAAAAAAGAAAATAAAAATATTGGAGCGATCCAATTTCAACGCGAATATAATATAAATATGCATTACCCTTAGTCCTGGTTGACCACCGCCCATCCGTGCGGCTTCTTCTTCCCTTCTTGCGGTTTCCTCTGCTTTCTGCTGCATCCGGCGCACTTTTTCAGGATCCTTGATGCCTCTTGTTTCGTTTTGCTCCCTACGCCGCTCGGCAGCTTCCAGCTGCTGTTGCCGTCTAATGCCCTGCGACGAATGATAAATTGTCACATGATTTTGTTCCTATATACATTACTACGCAACAATTTCACTTTAACATAAAGTATATAACATTTGTATCCTTTTCATTTCACACGTACCGGATCCGGCGTTATCAATTCTTCACTAGATCCTTTGAAGCAAGACGAACACAGTCCCATTTTTTGCGAAATATGCAACTATTTACAACAAACCAACAAGAAATTAAGCTAAACTCACAAGCACTTTTATGGCTACACTTTTCACAATGCTGAATCACACGTCGTATTTTGAAACTTTAATTTTTGACAGCTTATTGTTGCAAACGATATTTTTTTGTCAGGATAGATCGTACCTGAGTTCGACTCTGGTCACAATTGACAACCACCACCAGAACGACCATCTTTCTCCTTCGGTACGGAATAAAGTGCGTGTGTTGAAGGAAGATTTTAGGCACGAATAAGTTCGATTTTTACGATTAAATTGCTTCAAAATGCTTTCAAGAGCAGCACTTTTGGCCGGTAAGTTAGAATCTAGTATTTGTAAATAAGAAATGCAGCATATGATGGATTTACGAAAGCATTAGAAACTATGTTGATATCACTGGAGCCGAGGAAAAGGTTTATGTAATCATTTTGCAAATGTCAGGCTCATTTTGCACAAATTATTTCTAGCGGAAATAGCACTTGCTGGGAGTAATATTCGCGATACTAAACCTTTTAAACTGTCTCGAGTTTATAATGTAGAAACTGCAAATATCAAAATTTGAATAATATTCGAGACCAGGACTATAATAGTCACATAACCTCTACTAATAAAATCTATTTTCCAGCCGCTAAGAAACCCGCTGGGCTTGTTCTGGCCCGCGGATCTGCCTCTTCAACCGATAGCAACCGCCCTGTACGAGCGGAACATCCCGGAAAGGTTCGCCTCGGCTTCCTACCAGAGGAATGGTTCACATTTTTCTATAACAAGACCGGTGTAACTGGACCGTACGTATTCGGTGCTGGTATGCTGACCTACCTGTGCTCTAAGGAAATCTACGTCATGGAGCACGAATACTACAACGGTCTATCTTTGGCCATTATGGTTATCTACGCTGTCAAGAAGTTTGGACCAGCTGTAGCTGCATACTGCGACAAGGAAATCGATGTAAGTTCAATTATTATCTAAATTGTTCTGTAAATTTAATCGATTTTCTTTTACCCGTATTACAGAGAGTTGAAGGTGAATGGAAGGCTGATCGGGAAAACAATATCCAGCAGCTGGCTCAAGCCATCGAAGACGAAAAGAAGGAACAGTGGCGTGCTGAAGGACAAACTCTGCTAATGCAAGCCAAGAAGGAAAATGTTGCTCTCCAGCTGGAGGCTGCCTACCGTGAACGCGCGATGACCGTGTACCGTGAGGTCAAGAAGCGCCTGGACTACCAGGTAGAGCGCCAGAATGTTGATCGTCGCATCTCGCAAAAGCACATGGTTGATTGGATCGTCAAGAATGTCGTGAAATCGATCACACCCGAACAGGAGAAGGAGACCCTGAGCCGATGCATCGCCGATTTGGGTGCAATTGCTGCCCGTTCCAAGTAAATGGTTACTAATGAACACCATGCGCAACCTTCGGAAACGATCATGAAGTAAGTATTCGTTTTCCGACAAGCTTGGCAGGTAACATTTGGGAGTTAAAAATTAATAAATTGAACGATTTTGTCAAGTTAGTGCGAAAATCGAGCGTGTTGCATTCATGCAGATGACCTCCCCTTAAATGAGTAAATTGAAATCAAAATACGTCATTAGTGTAGTACTGAATCATTAATTTACAGGCAACCAATTCGCGATACATTCCACATAATGTTGATCGATGATATAGAACCATCTATGGACCTTACTGACTACCATAACTGTTATCATTACAGTTATCAAATTATAAATAAAAAGGTTCTAATGTAATTCCTTTTCCGAAAATGTATGGAGAAAACAAGAATTTGGAATGGTATTGATTCTTAACAACCCATTATTTGTAAGGTTCATTTCCAAAAAAAACAGTACATAAGATTAAAACTTTATCACACAAACGTTCATGTAAAGTTCCATAACCATTTCAGTTAAAGTTTAGCAGGGGTTATAAACCATTTTTGGTAAGATCAAGTAATGGTTCGCATTTATGCGAGTCGAAAATGAGCCCCAATTATGTTAGGCAGTCCAAATAGGCTCTTTTCATGCAACATTAATGTAGATTGCGCTAGCCGATTTTGAGAGGAAATGTCATCCAATTTAATTGTTTACATCATAATGACGATTTTCAAAACTCAAAATCTAGACTAAAATTTGAAAGCACTAGCCCCAATGGGTCTGGGTTCAATCCGAACCGAGGTCGATGGGATTTTTCTGAGGCATACAAATCTCTGGTCACGTTTTCCTTCGGAAGGGAAGTAAAGCCGTTGGCTAGGCCGTTGGTCCCGGCTCATGTGTGTTGGATGGGTGCGATATCCTACGCAGTTGTGGAAGCTGCCTTCCTGCACATTCGATTGCTGTCATTCTACCAGTTATATTTTTACCTTTAGTCTTTTTGTTATATTAATATATTATTAAGTATAATACTTCTTCGAAATCTGGCATCCGACTTAAGCTCACATCAGCTGATGTCCTAGTTATGAAATTTACTCTTGTGTTTAAAGTCGTCCTACATAGAAATCTTTTTTCCAATACAAAATAATGGAGGGCTGAAAGTAAACCATATTTGCATACTCCATTACTATAAAGGGGATGTTCATTAACTACGTAGACGGTTTTTAAAATTTGCATGTGCCGTGGATATTTGCCAACCCCCTCAAACTGTCAACGTAGTTTATGAACAGCCCCAAAGATCATGCATCGCATCTACGCTATAGGATTATTGATTACGTGAAAAGATGCTAGCTGATTAAACGCATAATATCCTGCAATTCCTGTCTCCGAGTGTCATCCTGTTCATAATTTATGTTTCGCAAACATTCTTCACACTCCACACTATCTTTTTGTAAATCTGTGCTATGCCTGCGACAGAAGCGACAGTAATAATTTGCGTTAAACCCGGTTAACATTTGTAACAGTGTGTGAACTCCAAGGCTATCTCCTTGAAATAAGCATAGTATGAAACGGACTTTAATCAGATGCGAATTCTAAGTGATGAACTAGCTTAAGGCTAAAAATCTCTAAAATAAAGATTTAAAAAAAAAAGATGTGAATTCAGGTTGAAAAATATTCTCTCATTTTCCAGTTTTTTGTAACGGTTCTAATAGCTTCTCTACTAGATTGTTCATGCCTGTATGTGGTAACTTTTCTGATAAATGTTGCAACCTGAATGTTACAAAGCATCGATCTAAACGCATCAGGAAGGGTCGGAAAACTGTAATAAATTCCACATATGGAATCTATATTGTTGTGGGAGCTTAATGGATCATTGACCGCAAATTTATCAGCATAAACCCAGATTGGTTAAAATACAGTTTTCGTCATCTTGAACATACCTAGCTTTGATTTGCTCCCACACGGTTCCATTTACAAAGTGGGTGATTTTGTCAGCTTTATCCAAATTAGAAGTACTCTGCAGAGTCTTCTCAAGAATTTCAACTGTTTCGAAAAATGATCGGATTTGAAATTCTATTGGATTTAATACCAAACAAGATGTTCTGCCATTCTCATTACTTGACACTTTTGCCTCATTTTGTTTAAAAACTAATGTCGTTGGACCTTCATATAGCTTTAAATCATTTAAGTGCGCAAAAAACTTGTAATCAGTGTCAATACAATTAAACGCGGTCTTCATTTGTGTTAGGTACTTGTTCGCACCTCTCCGGTGCGAATGAAAAACGATTTTAAAAAGTAGGTCTTTTGACGGATAAACTCAACTAAAATATATTCAAAATTAACAAACTATTTACATTAAACAAACTTACAATCGACAACTTACAATTTAGTTTTTCAATGCCAATCTACCTTCGGCGGGCTTAGCGAGGTCCTATCAATTAATTAAATAAAAGACACTGAACAACATGTCACCTTTACATAATATTTAACTTACAGTAATTGAACAGTAATACACTAAATGGAAACATATCTGCTTCCCGCGGTACAACAGTGGCGAACAATCTATGATTTCACAATATTTAAAAAGCTACAAATAAACTAATAAACTACAAATTACACAACTTACTAGGTACAATAATCGGCACAAAGCATAATTCGCAACAACAAAAATACATCTATCGCGATGGAGTCTATACTCTCCTCTTTCCAGGCCAGCTGCTGGGGTAAACAAACAAAGTAGTGCGAAAGCGATGGCCGTGTTCAGCTTATCCCAATCACTATCGCACCTCTGTGTGAATACATTCATCTATGCGCCTCACTGCTACAGCGACGGCAAGAAACGTCAAAAAACGGGCGCATCAAATGGGGCGCGTTCACGGTAGTTATGCTACCGCAACCCTTTCAGGCCTGCCTGCAACGGCAACATTCCCCCGCCCGTAATCCCTGTGGCTGGTTCCATCAAGAACAGTACGGGGATTACTCCTTCGAAGTGACCTCCAGAACGGCTAGCTTCGCTACCGGTCTGACCTTCTCGCCTCTGCTTGTCTGAACGGACGCTGAACGGACTCTTCCGTCACTCCCAACGAACACCTTCTTCACCACGCCTCGCTCCCAGACGTTTCGCTTCTCTCCATCTGCCACGAACACCAAATCTCCAACCGCTACTTGTCGCTGATCCACGAACCACTTAGACCTCTTGTTTAACATCGGCAGGTATTCCCTCTGCCAACGATCCAAGAATCCATCCGCCAAGAACTGTGCGCGATGGTAGCTACTACGCAAAGTGTTGGCCAGGTCAATGGGATTCCTCGACGGCAAACACTCGACCGATGAACAACCACGCAAAAAGTGGTTCGGCGTCAACGCTTCCTTGTCTTCCTTCACGTTGGTGGACACGTAGGTGAGTGGACGAGAGTTGATCAGGTTCTCTGCCTCGATCAGTGCCGTCTGCAGGATCTCGTCTGTCAGCTTCCGACCATCTGTGAACGTTTTTAGTGCCTCTTTCACCGAGCGCACCATTCTCTCCCACGCACCTCCCATGTGTGGGGCAGTCGGTGGGTTAAAAGTCCAACGAGTCCTCGCACCGGTAAAGGTATCCGCACATGCTAGATTTATTTCCTTCAGCAGATCTCGACTGGCACCGACAAAGTTCGTGCCGTTATCCGAAAGGATCTCGATCGGACTGCCACGCCGCTTTACAAACCTCCTGATCGCCATTTTGCACGACTCAGTCGTCAAGTTGTACGCCACATCCAAATGTACCGCTCGCACAGTTAGGCACGTGAAAAGTGCCACCCATCGCTTTTCCTTCCTTCGGCCAATAGACACTTCCAGTGGACCAAAATAGTCTATGCCGACGTACGAAAACGGATCGACCCTCGCCGCCAAACGCTGCGACACGGAATGTAGAATCGCTGCCGAACTTCGTTTACAACGGTTTCTCTGCTGCTGTGCCCATACTGCCGATGGTAGTGTTCTAATAACCTTCGAGTCACCACGTGGTCCTTCGGCAGAATGATCGGAAACCTCGCATCAAATGCCGCATATTCCGCCGCTTCTGTACGACCTTCCATCCGCACGACACCATCCTCATCCAGGAACGGCGCAAGACGATACTGCTTACTCGACCTCTCTAGTGACATTTCATGTACTGTCGAATCCTTGTTCTTCACCAGGGTCCTCACTTCGTCGGCAAACTCGTCTGCCTGAATTACCTTCCACAAAACTGTTTCTGCAGCCTGGTACTCCTCCTGTCGCAACGGCACATCCACGGCGGGGAACGTTGATCCTTGCTTGACACCTTTCCTAACGGCTTCGATTGGCAGCTTCTTGACGCGTCGCCGGCAGTTGGACGCGAATCGGAACACTGTTGCTAGGGTCCGCACCATTACTGTCCAACGCGAAATAAGCTGCAACTTCTCCGTAAACCCCTCGGGTAACACGATGGGGTTTACGGGAGCACGCTCGACCGGAGCTCTTCGCCAACTTCCACCTTTGGACGCTTTTGCTTCGGCCATTCTTCCACTCCGTGATACAGAAAATCCGGTCCATGGAACCATCGGCTTCCCGACTTGATCTCCGTTCCTTTGCCCACTTCGTCAAATCGTCCGCTGGATTGTCCTTTGTTCCTACCCAACGCCAATCTTCTGGATTCGTGATGCTGAGGATCTCGCCAATACGATAGGCAACGAACGGCTTATACCTTCGTTGGTCCGATTTCACCCATGATACTACCGTATCCGAGTCACACCACAGGAACCGCTTCGCTACCGGAAAGGAATGGGCATCGCAGATCGACTTTGTCAATCGCGCATCGAGAACAGCCGCTTCTAGCTCCAACCGTGGTGTAGACAGGTACTGTAATGGCGCCACCTTCGCTTTGGCCCCGATGAATGCGCAGTAGGCCATGCATCCATATGCCGCATCTCCAGCGTCAGTGAAAACGTGTAACTGCATCGTTTCATAGACCTTCGAGTCCAATCCACCGAGGTAACACCGTGGAACACGAATCTAATCGATTAGATGGAATAGCTGTGTCCACTGCTCCCACTGCTTGTAGTGAGCTTCCGTGAGCTTCTCGTCCCAACCTATGCCGCTACGCCATAAATCCTGCATTATGATCCGTCCGTGTATCAGCAGCGGAGCCAGGAACTGCTTC